CCCTCCCTCCCTTTCTTCCACAAGTAGCTTGGGTACCTTGTTCACCGCAGAGAGGTCCTGGAATTACAGAGATTATTTCTGAGAACCATAAATAAGCAATAGATCACTATTAAAATCGCCCTGCTCCCAAGGTGAGGGCAGATCCCATGCAGAGCTCCTGGGGGCTGATTTGCAGCCAGAGCTGTGCTCAGGGGCCCACTCCTCCAGAGAAAGTGAGGAGCGATAGGAGGTGTCCCCCCTCGCCATCACCCCGCTCCAGCCCTGCGCTTCCCACCCTGGCCTGGCCTCCCCGGTCTCCTCTGGAGAGCATATGGAGCGTCCGTCGCAGTTACAGCTACTGTAGCAGCAGGTGAGAAGCCTACTCCCGGGCCTCCTGGGCACTGTCGCCTGCAGGGCCGGCCAGGCTTGCTTTGAGTGCATGGGCTCCGACCGTGTCTAGATATTGACGTCATGTTGCAGACACTCAGAGGAAAAACCGGGAGACAGGCCGTACAGCAGGTCCTTGAACAGCATTTCTTTCTATGTTTCATTATAACATGGACGAGATGCCACAGGAACTTCGCTCCTGTTCGTGTCACTTAGCCTGTGGGAAAACTGGGTTCCGTACACATTGTTTGCCATAGTTCCAAGAACGTATCCACGATGTTAAGTGAGGACTTACTGTATTTGTTTTCTGGGGCACTACAGCAAATTATCACAAACCACGTGGCTTAACCAGAAACTCTCTCTCTCGGTTTCAGAGGCTGGAAGCCTGAAGCCCAGGTGTGAGCAGGGCCATGGTCCCTCTGAAGGCTTCAGGGGAGGACCCTTCCTTTCCACTTCCAGCTTCTGGTGGTGGCCAGCAACACTCAGAGTCTTTGACTTATAGACACGTCACTCCAAACTCTGTCTTCATCATCACATGGTGTTGCGGGCCAAATTGTGTCCCTCTGCCCCCAATTCATATGTTGAAGCCCTAGCTCCCCAGTGCCTCAGAATGTGATTGTGTTTGGAGATAAAGAGGTAATTAAGTTAAAATGGGGTCATTAGGGTGGGCCCTAATCCTTATGAGAAGATTAGGACACAGGTAACAGGCAAAGGGCCGACCACATAAGAACACAGAGAGTCGGCGGGCATCTGCAAGACGAGGAAAGGGGCCTCAGAAGAAATTAAGTCTGCTAATACCTTGGTCTTGAACTTCTAGCTTCTAGAACTGTGAGAAAACAAATTTCTGTTACGGTGTTTAGTTGTGGCAGCCCGAGCAAACCAATAGGCATGACATCATCCCTGTGTGCCTGTCTCTTGTCTTCTTATAAGGACACTAGTCATGTTGGATCAAGGACCCACCCTACTCCAGGATGACCTCATCGTAAACTTTCACTGCAGTGACTCTATTTCCAAACAAGGTAACATTCTGAGGTTCCTGGAAGGACATAAATTTTGGAGAGGACACTACTCAACACAGTGCAGGGCAGTTTGCCTAAAAGAGCCATTTCCCTGAGCCCACTTTTCACGCTGTTTTTTCTGGGTCTCGGTTTTCTCTCCCTCTTGGAAGGAGGTCAAGGGACGGTGGGCCATGGCAGCTGCTCTGCAAGGACAGGGGAGTGGAACGACCGCCTGGGCTCCAGTAGGGGCCGGGGGTTCCGTCTAAGGAGCCAAGAGACGGCAGCTCTGAGCCCTGCAAACCCGCACCTTCGGGCCCGGGGGCGGGGAGGCCCACGCTGCTTTCCCCAGCTCTGCCCATCGGCAGACGGCGCGGCGTTGGGGCCTTGTGGCTCACCGCTACCCACACCGCTGATCTCTGGCACCGGGTCACACTTTTCCTGACCTATTTGCCTGGAAAGGAGTGTGAGATGGAGCCACTTGTTCGATCTCTTCCCATCAAGAAAATGTTTCTCAAGGATGGCGTGGGGTGGGATCGGGGGACGGGGCGGGGAGTGGGTTTCCCTAGTTCTACTGATTAGAATGAGGGTTTGGTGATCCTCAGTATTGGCCGCATGTTGGAATCACCTGGAAAACTTTAAAAAAATTCTGATTCCTGTCTGCTCCCCCTTCCCTCAGAGATTTTGATTGGATTGGCCTGGGCTGGCTTGGGTATTAGGACAACCAGAAGGTCCCAAAGTGAGTCGACTGTGTGGCCCTGGCTGAGAAGCGCCTGCTTGAAGTGTCTAAGAGTCCTGAGTCATCAAGCAAATGGAGTCATGGAACCGGGGTGAACTTTAGATCAGCACCCCAACTCCCAAAAGAGGAAAGGAACCCAGCCAGGGTGGCTCAGTCGGTTGAGTCTTGTTCTGCGCACCGAAAGGATGCTGGTTCCGTTCCCAGTCGGGGCACACACCTGGGCTGCGGGTTCAGTCCGCCGGTGGGGCACGTACAGAAGGCAACCGATTGATGTTTCTCTCTCACATCAATGTTCCTCTCTCCCCCCGCCCAACGTGTCCTCAGATGAGGATTCAAAGAGAGAGAGAGAGAAAGAGAGACAAGGAAACCAGCACCCAGAGCACCCAAGGTCAGCCAAGGTCAGCCAAGGAGAGAACTCAGGGAGCCAAGATGAAAGCCCAGGGCTGGGGCTCCCGTCGGCCACTGGTTTCTCCCCAAGTTTTCATTTCCTTGCTGCAAATGAACATATTTAATGATTTGATCCAGCCCTCCGATCTGCATTATTTTTCCCCAAACATCAGCTGTTATTACTGCTGGTATTTTTGTTGTTGTTATTATTATCATTACTATTATTAGTGCCTTTCTTTTTTAAATTTAATTAAGTTTATTGGGGTGGCTTTGGTTAATAAGATAAAAGTTTCAAGTGCACACTCTGTAATACACTATCTGTAGACTGCACTGTGTCTAAGAGGGTAAAGGGGGCAAATGTCTGATGGCAGGAGGAGACCTGACTTTGGGCGGGGACCTGCCTTTTACCCAAGTCTGCAGGCCTTTACTGACCTAGTATTTCCCTCCCTCGGCTGTTCAGGAGTTACGAGCTCAGCTTGCTAACACTGACGGGCGTAAGCTGCCGCACGTTCCCCATCAGCCTTTTCAGCGTGTCTGCTTTATTTTTACAGACTGAAGAGCTGCGATTTGCATTCTTGGAGCGCCCAGCCCCTGCTCCGGGTCCCCTGTGTCGGCTTCGATGGACGAGCAGGACCATGGGAAGGATCATTACACGGGTTGATGTCAGCCCACTGGGGGTGAGAGCCAAGGGTCAGCTGTGTTGAAATTTGGAAATAAATCTTTGTATCCTTTAAAAATATCAGCTTAAGGAAGTTCTCTATAACAGAGCCATTTCACCAACTGTATTTTTTCTTACACTTACTATGGCTTTTTTATTTTCATTATTTATTTTTTAGGCCTTTCAGGCGGTCTTCTTGTTGTTTCTTTTAAACCAAGGTCCTCTCTCCCTGTCCCCTCACCCCCTGCTCTCCTCCCCCATCTCCTCTCTCCAGGAAGCACACATGTTCCTTGAAGAATCCTGACTCTTACAAGGTATGTTTTCCTGTGATTTTCACACGATTTATTACCCTGCCCTTAAGGATAATAATTATTAAAAAAAAAGTGATGCTTTTGCTTTGGTGCTCAAAGGAGTTTCATGGAAATCCTTGCAAGTCACCCTCTTACAGTAATGAAAGCACAGCCGAAGTGTTTACTCTCTGGGGGCGCAACACTCCTCTGCTTGCTAGAAGGCCTGGGGCACCCAGGGTGCTGGGACCTGTCTGCTGGGAGAGGAGAAGTTAATTAAATTACCTTATATTTAGTGTTAATTTTGTCCTGGGCTTGTCAGATAATAGACGACAAGCCTGGACTTGACGGGAGCATAGGCCCGGGCGTGAGAGGCATCTCCTGGGTTGTCCTATTGTCAGACTAATTGAACCAACATCTTGGTTGAGCTCAGTTACCAATGTGGTTCCAATATTATTTCAACAGGTGTCAGTCTGGGGACTGGGGTCAGACACACGGCCTGTCTGATGGAGATGGTGACACTCAGTCCAGCCTCTCGGGAACTGATGTGACGTGACTGTGTCCTGTCCAGCGGGGGGTGGGGCGGGATGCTTGGAGAGGTTTCTGAAAAACCATCGCTTGTCTTAACTAGGTAAAGATGTCTGCTTGGCCCACACTTTTGCTGGGGTTGGCTTGGAGCAGGGAAGTGTATCGATGATACAAGAAAGTACCGAGGATCCTTCTGCATTCGGAGTGAATGCTTTCGGTCGCCAATTAAAACTTGCCTCACTGATGAAAACCTGAGCCCTTGAAGAAGTGAGTTGTGAGAAGCCCTGATTAGCATGAAATTCCATTTCCCCCTAATGTGTGGCCCGATCCACGAGGCCTATGGCAGTGTAACCTCCCAGGCCAGGAAAGTATTTGGATCACCCAGGTGACTGCATGGACATGGACTCAATGTCATTTCCCATATTCGATCCCAAGTCCTAAAATGCACTTTCACTCAAATGAAGAGACTCTCAAGGAGTTTTCCCCCTTTGTTTTAGAAAACTACACACAAGGCATGACCTCCTGAAATGACTTGATCAAATTCGTTCCTATAAACATGGTCCTCTATCCACACACCCCTGCCTGGGAAAGGAGACCCCTGGCAATGACAATAGGCCCAGCACACCTCTCGGAGGGTCCCCATGCTCTGGGAAAATGTGTGCCATTCAAAGCTGTCGCTGAGCCCAGCAACACAGGTTCCTCGCACTCGGAGGAAGGAAGGGTAGGCCTCTGCCCTTTGGAAACTCACCGTGAACTTATATTCACATACTGTTGGGTATAGTTTCCACATCTTAATTGTCCGTAAGTAACTTCCCGAACAAAGATGCTTTCCCCGCCCAAGCATCCGGAGCTGGTGTCAGGCCTCTGAACGACTGCAAGTCAAAGTGTGCTGTCTGACCCCTGACAAGCCTGGGCCCAGGTTAACATAAAATACAGAGAAGCTGTTTATCCCTTCATATCTCACAGATCAAACAAGTCCATGATGGCGACAGGGCTGCCACAGGATGCCCCACAGAGAAAGATCTTCAAGCATCGACCAGGGGCCACGGCTGTACACCTAAGGCCTGTGGCTCATGGATCTAAGAGTCAACTGCCCTCTCTGTCCAGCCTCAGAGGAGCAGCCTTGAGCAAATGCAGTCAACTGCCAGTAGAAGAGATTCAGGGCTGGCATCCGGCTGGGACCCTGAGCACAGTCCCTGAGGCCCCAGTTCACCTAATGGCAAGTCACGCAGAGTCCCCCGCCAGCCCTGGGTCTCTGCAGCAGGCGGAGCAGCTGGCCGCAGGCGAGGGGGCGGGGGCAGGGGGGTGAAGGGACCGGGGCG